CCCCCCCCCCCCCTTCCTCCCGAAGGGGTCAACTTCTGTATGGTCCCTGCATCTTTTTTATCACAGGTCAGTTCCCTAGCACAACGCTCCATCTGTCAATTAGCAACAGTGATCTGTGCACATGTATGTTAGCCCCCATTCCGTAACCCTTTTGTGGGAATGCACAGATCCGTCGTAGGGATGTCCTATGCTGAAGTTGGTGCCATCCGTGCACTGTATTTGGTCGTGTCATCTTTGAAACGCCACCATCATGTCCAACGAAGTTTCTACCTCTTGCTGCTGAAGGTCTATGCGTGTATGTCTGTCTGTACATGTGTGTTCTGTGTGTGCGTGGGTGGTGGTGGGTGGGTGAGGGTGGGGGTGATGGATGACACAGCAGTCCGTGGGAGGAATGGTGAAAGCCTTGAATGCACTCTCTTCGGTGAGCTTGGAGACACGTGTCAAGCACAACAATAAAGTCTTGCAGGCGTTGATTGTATCCTTTTCCTTTCCATTTCTTGAATTGTTCCTTAAACTGTTCTCAGGGAACAGTTATAAGTTGGATTTCCCATTGGTGAACTCCATATATATTTCAAGTTCGTACTCGCCCCGATGTCCAGTATGTTGCAGTCAAACTTGAACGAGTCCATATCCTTTTCTCTAACATGGCGTGGGAGTGATTTGTGTTGCTGTCAACTTGTTGAGGATTACGTCGTAAGTGTTCATGCCGTTTCAGCAGATTTTGTCTTTCCTTGCCAGCTGCGCTGGGTTGTGTCACACTTGTAAAGGTTCAATTGCTGCGCTGGGTTGTGTCACACTTGTAAAGGTTCAATTGCTGCGCTGGGTCGTGTCACACTTGTAAAGGTTCAATTGCTGCACTGGGTTGTGTCACACTTGTAAAGGTTCAATTGCCCGTGTTCGTGAGATTCCATGAACTGAAATGAGATTTCAACCGTTTGTTGTCTATCGGGTTCCCACTGTCGAAACTGATGGCGGATGAAGCATCTAATGATTGGAAAAGCGTCCTGTATCGTGAGGTTGGAATCTTTGAACATCGATTGTCGGCCCCTAAGTGGAATGTTTTTTTTTTCTGTAAATAGAAATGCCTTGGCATCATCCAGTACTGAGGGAAAGTGTTCCGTGAAAGGAAATGCAAATCAATGCGCCTTTTTCCTTAAATTCTGGGTATGTTTCCCAGGTGTTTTGTTCCTACGGGGTGGTTAAGACACCATGTGCTATTAGGGTTCACTCAGTGATAGTCCCAAAGTCCTAAACCCTAACCCTTAAACCTGAGCTTGAACGCTCACGAACAGTGCTGTTTGGTAGGCTGTGGCATCTTGTGTTACATAATACACATCCGCATGTACAGCAGTGTTGGAATTTCTCCTTCGTCTCAGCAAATAGCTCCCTGGTTTGTAAGATAGCCGTTCCGTTTTCACCCGAAATAGAGCACATGGTCATTGTTGCTGTATCCAGACTGAAAGTCGCCCCAAATACAGCTATAATGACCGGACGTTGTATTGGGGTGAAAACGGTGGTAGTTTTCTTAAGGCTGAGTAATCCTGCAAAGCCCAAAGCCCTAAACCCTAAACCCTGAACTTGAATGCAGATATACAGTGCAGTTAGCAGGCAGGTGACAGACGTCCGGTGCCTGACGCTGTGCGGTGTGTCAGCCTCTGTAATGGTGTTGGAATTTCTCCTTCTGCTCAGCTGTTGGCTTCTTCCTTAGCACTTGTCGCAGGAATGCTGGGCAACATGCAATGCACGTGTCAACGGTGTGAGTATCGAGGAAGAGCTTGGGTTGCGGGATTCGATTCTTCGGAATGCATCCTTCAAGGTCTTGGAATTTGCGGCGGAGCTGGGGGCTCACCAACTTTACGCGAGACTTGGAGAAGAGGTGGGTAGGGTACATTCAGATTAAAAAAAGAAGAAGAAAAAAAAGGGTACATTCAGATAGCTGTAAAAAAGGGTGGTGAGCTTACTTCTCATTGCTCTCATTCTGAGATGGGCTCATTTTTGCTGCAAATGCTGGAGGAGAGTGTGAAGTTTGCTTTGGACTGAGGCAGATCTAATTCTGCACACGCTTGAGAATAAAAAGGGTGTGTCCTTTGGGGACATCCGTTAACATTGGAAGGATACAGAGAAGAAAGATTAGCATGGCCTCTGCGCAAGGATGCCACACATGAATCGGGAAATGGTCCCAAAAAAAAAGAAGAAAAAAAAAAGAGAATAAAAAGGTGCTTTGGATTGAGGCAGATCTATTTCTACACACGCTTGAGAATAAAAGGTTGTGTCCTTCGGTGACATCCGTTAACATTGGAAGGATACAGAGAAGAAAGATTAGCATGGCCCCTGCACAAGGATGCCACACATAAATCGGGAAATGGTCCCCCCCCCAAAAAAAAGGGAAAAAAAGAGAGAGAATAAAAAGGTGCTTATGGAGAATGCGAAGTTTCTTAGTTTCCTTCTCATTTACGACGACACATGCATATTTTGCAAAAGATAGACTGAGTCGTGCATATCTTATCCCAGACTACTGATGGATTTTTTCCTCCCTCGGTACATGTATTGTCCTTGCACATGGCGCCTGTTCACCGCAGATGACAGTTTGTTTGCAGGGGACGATGGATGGGGCCTCCTCTAGTGTATATTGGACAACTACGGTAGCAAACAGAAAGGAAGTTGATGGAAAGCCACCGTTGTTGCAGCACGGTATAATGATGTTGTCCTTCTACCCAACTGCCGCCATCGCCAATAGATGATTGATTAGTTGGCACTTGCTTTTGATTGCTTGACGGTGATGGCCCTGTCTCTGTTTGTGTTCCAGGTTTGTTTATGGTCTGCCAATGCGATTACGGAATATGTGGATGGACGCAGTGGAGGAGCCCTCGAGGCATATTGTCAGGTCCTTGACCACTCCTTACCTCTAGCTTGGTTGGATCATTCATTCTATACATCTCTCTCTCTCTCTCTCTCTCTCTCTCTCTCTCTCTCTCTCTCTCTCTCTCTCTCTCTCTCTCTCTCTCTCTCTCTCAACAGGAAGGACCAGAAAAAAAGAAGGATGAATCTTCCTTTGGAGATGTGTTCTGTATTTGATTACAATTCAACGCCTATATTTTTTATTATTTTTATTAAAGCAGGTCCTTATGGCCCTGGCTCAATATCCATTCTTGGGGATCATCAGTCCGGTTCCTATTCCACCGGCAAGTCAGAAATACAACATGAACACACTCGCGCTTCCTTCCATTTGGCCGAAGGACCCCTGATCAGCGTTGATTCCTCCAGATGTCTGGAGGATTGACTGTCAGCTTGCATTCCCTCTACCTTTCCTCGCAAGTTTGTTTACCAAACTTGCCAAATTTTACGTGAAACCAAAAAAGGCTTTTTTTTTGTAATTTTAAAAGGAGTGGAAGCCAAAATCCCTGAACTTGTCGGGGAAGTCCCATTGGACTCTGATCTGGTAGATTGTGGACTGCTGCTTTGCTGGTCTCCTCCTCTCTGTCATGCCGTCGGGTTTATGTGGCCTGTATTGGGTCCTGCCGATCTGCTGATTGGGGCCCTCTGTCTTCTAAGCCCAGTTTCTGAATTGTTGTGCCAGTCTTTCCACCGTATACTGGAGCCACCCCCTAGTTTCAGGTCCTGCCCAACGGACCCAAAACTGAATTTAGGGTTTGGGGGTCATTTTTTTGGTTTTTTCGATCTGTTTTCTTTGCCTGTTTTCATTTTAGGTCGAGCTTTATGTGTGCCAAATTTGGTGTCTGTTGGACTATTCAAAATTTCTCTGTTGACATTTCTGAAATTCATGAAAATTTATGAAATTTGGGTTTGGGCAAATTTTGATAGATTTTGCATGAAGGCGCACCTTTGCCGTGAAGTTTTGTGCTTTTTTTTTTTTTCCACGTTTTCTTTTTGCTAGTAGTTAGTATGGTGTGCACTCTATGTATGGGTGTCAAGCTTCATTGAAAAGGCCTTTGGGTATTCTTATAAATGGCATGAGAATTTTTGAAAATTCAGGCATCCGTTAACCTTCTCTCGTCTGTTTCCACCAGCCATACCCTTGCAAATTCCGCTTTGATTTTCTGCTGCAGCCTGCAGGTCCAAATCGTCCAGCATAGAGTGCTTCGTTTTCGACCACTTGCATAAAACCCCGGCCTGAATCGACGACCTTGTAGCCGCCCAACGCTATCTCTTGGAGAGGAGAGGCCTTCAAGAGTTCTACAGCACCTTTCCTTCCATATAAACCAACGTGTCACTTTTCTGATCATCGTACCGAACGTGTCACATTTCTGATCATCATACCGAACGAGATCCTCTCTGTCTTCCAGAAGTGGGCAGGGACGTTACTCCATAGGAGTTGGATGTCGTAGGAAAAAAAAAAAACTTAGTACAAAAAGAAAAACGAGTTCAGATATAATATTATAAAACCTTTCTCGGCCTTTTGGCTAAGATCAAGTGTAGTATCTGTTCTGATCGGTTAAAAAAAAAAAAAAAAAAAAAAAAAACCTCCTGAATTACCACTACTGTTGACATTATTTTACTTTTTTGTGCAGTGGAGGGGCTGGGGCTCTGCCCCTGCTTCTCAATTACAGGTGCACGAAAAAAGACGGGGGAAAAAGAAAACAGACAAAACCTCCTGGTGTGGTAGAGCAGGTACACTGTAAGTCCAAGTCTGTGACGAGGTCCTCCTGTTATGAACTTGGCTGTTTGACAATTTGATTGCCACTCACACACAAAAGAACTCACAAACGCCCATACATGCATGAGACCAGGGGGAGGAAGAGACAGAGTCCACGTGCACACAGATCAGAGATGAACAGTGGAAGGACAACCATGCACAGATGGGGAGAATACACACAGTGTTCTCTCTCTCTGATGAACTCCCAACAACCAATCACATGATGACACTGCAAAGATCACAATTGGAAAGTAACCCAGATGATGAGCCAACTCAACACAATTGACCTCAATTATCGTTACAGAGTTCAACTCAGTATCTCGCCACTCCAGAACTACACCCTCCACTCACTACCACACTCTCAGAGTCTAGCGCTGCATACAAACAGCCTCCCAGAGGCCAGCGCCATACACCCAGATGTAGATCATGAACAGCGAAGTAGTCTCCAGTGCCGATGAGTCACTCTGACGATGAAGAAGGCAGCTATGGCTGCCTAGCTGCTACCGCAGCAGCAGTACCCACATGTACTCAGTGAAGACCCTCCGATAGTCCTGCCAAACGCAGATATCCCCTGGGGATAGATGCGCTGAGCCCAGCCCCAGCTATGGCTGTCTCAGGTAGGCCGCCTATGGCCGCTTCACGCAGCTGATGTCGCAGGTGCTGCTGTAGACATTCAGCGCTGTTAAACTTGGTTGGCCACGAACGCTGCACGCGAAAAATGAAAAGCCAAAAGCCCTGAACCTACTCGGCCTGTCCTATTTCTAGACTCTACCCTAGACCTACTGGACCGAAACTGCTCTACCGGTACCGTTTCGACTTAGGGCCTCTAGGCCCTTCCCAGCTACGGGCTCTACCCACTGTAGGCCCTTAGGGCCTTTATGACGTCGGGGAAGACTGGGCCTGCATTCGCAGGGCCGGAGCCGGTCTATTTTTAGAACAGCATATAGGCCTCAGTGTGACCCAAAACTCTGCACGCACACACACAACAATGCACGCTGCAAAACACAACAGGCACACACAACAGGGTACAACCTCGCCGTTAGTCACGGCAGCAGAAATCAGCACGTCATCGCACCTCAATGCGTTAAAAAAAACACAGCAACCGCACAGACAACAAAACACAGAAAACACAAAATCACGAATCTAACCTACGACGCGACCAGACCGAGGCAAGCCCCAGGCTTCGCCCTCAGCCTAATGTACAGTCCACTGAGAATCTGCAGGTTTCATTACACCCCTGTTTGATTTGAGATTCTGAACCGTATGGAACAACAAAAGACAAAATTTAGGAAGCGAAAAAGTTAATCTTATGGAAGTTTGGAAAGCGCAGGAGGAGTAGTTTGAGAAGGGCTACTCTTCTGTATAAGATTGACCGGGATATAGAAAACAAGGGGTCCTAGTCGACGCATAAGTAGGTTTTCTGTATAGGATAGACCAGGATATAGAAACCTTTTCCGTATGAGAAGAGCTTCCGGTTATGTATAGGATAGAACAGAATATAGAAAAATGTGGAGTTCGACCCAGCCGAGTCGGGCTATCCAAAACAAGGGACCTGCCGTCTTCACCTGAATACAACGTACAGTCGTTATTGCTGTATCTAGACTCAAAGTTGCCCCGAATACAGCTATAATGACCATACGGTGTATTCGGGTGAAGATGGTAGTTGACGTATAAGGATAAGGGAATGTATGGTGACTACCGTCCTCACCCGAATGGAATGCCCGGTAATTATTGCCGTATCGGGACTGAAAGTTGCACCAAATACAGCTATAATGACCGGGCGTTCTATTCAGGTGAAGACGGTAGGGAATATAGTGTTATCCTTGAAGGGAACAAGGACATAATTTAAGCATGTGGGGGAAACAGAAATCGGGGCACAACACCAAAGGGTCTAGCTCAGTTTGCACGCCCATGGACGGGTGAAATGCAGACCCAAGTTTGAAGCCAGGTGGCAAAAAAAGAGAAAGAAAGCAGTCCGGGTACAGCCGAAGGCTGTGCTGCGAAAGATGGACATAGCAGTGGATGATAAACAGAAGACACTCTGGGATGATTGAAAAGTGGTACGTTGGAGAAAACAAAAGAAAGAGAATGCAGTTTGGAAAAGTGATGTAATCTGACAGAAGCCCGAGGCCAATCTGAGCAAAACCAAATAACAATGTCGTCTCCAGATGCTCCAGACCTCGGTAATCTCTCTCTCTCTCTCTCTCTCTCTCTCTCTCTCTCTCTCTCTCTCTCTCTCTCTCACTGTCTCTCTCTGTCTCTCTATCTATCTCGCTTTCTTCCCGATTGAAAAAGAGGGCAAGGATTGTGATTCCATAAATTCATAGTAGTTTGGTAAAGTGTGATGAATACAGATGGATGAAGTTGTCAACCAAAACAGCCAAGATGCTGGTGCTCGAAGGGTAGCTCTGGGAAGTGAGCAATCCATACGAAGAAAGAAGGGAAGGAGGGGTGATGAGGAGGGGGGTATGGGAACAAAGTTCGTGTGACAAGGCCTGTGCAACGGAGGGATCGTCTTATGGATGTCTGCTTAACGATTACCCAATCTTGTACAAATATTCTTTATGGGCGTCGACAGGTCCAACGATCAGTTGTCAACTTTGTTGCTGCCATCATATGCTGTGCAACTCAGTTATATGGTGATGGGAAGGGTGAAGTGGTTGGATACATAGAACCTGTCATACCAGCTACGTTCAAGCTTGCGCGAAACATCCTTTTCCCTTCAGAGGTGAGCTGCTTCTTTAATCATGCTGCTCTCCAAATCATGCTGTGATATGTGACCTCATGTTTTTGAGTCCTGAGTCAGCGATGTCATATCATTTTATTGGAATTGTTCTGCATTTGTCCTCTCCGTCACCTGCCCTCCCCATGACTAGTGTATGTCGCCTGGCTTGCCTGGCTTTTGCACATTTCCGTCCTGTTCTGGGACGATCCATACATAGACTTACGGGATCGTGTTCTCCTCTCTCTCTCTCTCTCTCTCTCTCTCTCTCTCTCTCTCTCTCTCTCTCTCTNCTCTCTCTCTCTCTCTCTCTCTCTCTCTCTCTCTCTCTCTCTCTCTCTCTCTCTCTCTCTCTCTCTCTCTCTCTCTCTCTCTCTCTCAAGCCACCAGTCCGTTGGAGGCTCTTTTATCTGAGGCAGATTTCTACTGTGTGTCAATTTCTACTGAACCCGAACAGCTCACAATTTGCGTGGCAATGGCAGCCTTTTTCGTCCAATAGGTACGACCCACAATTTTGCGGCCGGTTACCCGGCGCATTGGAACAAAATAGCTGGGAAATGTACTGGTGGTCTAAAAGGGTAGTCCTTTCATTACTGTATTCATCTGATTAATCAGGATCCAAGATTCCAAACTAATCACCTGTTTGTTCACAGTTACATGTGTGTACCATTCGGTGATATGGCTCAGGTTGTCTATTTTTCTCTCTTTGTTTTCTTTTCACCAATTCTGAGTTGTCCGTTTGATGTTTAGGGAGAGTGTTAAAAGTTTTGATCATTTCTTGATTTATTTATGCGTGTCATCTTTGCACAGGGGCCATGCTAATCTTCTCTGTATCCATCTATCTTTCTCTTCATCTTCCTGGTGGCGAGTTTGTTTCTACGACCAGTTTCTGGTGTATATCGACCTGTGGTCGTCTTCATCTCAGTGAAGTCACCCGAACACCGGAACAGCATTGTTTGCCTGTTTATTCACAGTTACGTGGGTGTACCTTTCGGTGACATGCCTCAGGTTCTCTATTTTTCTCTCTCTGTTTTATTTTTACCAGTTCTGAGTCGGCCGTTTGATGTTTTTAAGGAGAGTGTTAAAATTTTTGATCGTTTCTCGATTTATGTGTGTCATCCTTGTGCAGGGGCCATGCTAATCTTCTCTGTATCCATCTATCTTTCTCTTTGTCTTCCTGGTGGCGTGTTTTTTTTCTACGACCACTTTCCGGTGTATATCGACCTGTGGTCGTCTTCATCGCAGTGAAATCACCGGAACAGCATTGTCTGCATATCTAACATTACACAACTCTGTGACCCCAAAAAAATACAGAAAGAAAAAAGACAGCACAAACATGCATGCCATTGTTTTCTTCTTCTTAGTGTGTGGTCACGCTAATACAGGCTTGTTTTCTTTTGTGAAAGGCATGCTCCGGCACTAAAGTACTTTCTCTTCCCCCTGTGCATGGAGCGGTTATCAATTCTCGAAATTGTCAATATAGGTGAATAGGCACGATCTCGCTCTGTGTCCCATTCCGTTTTTTTTTTTTTTTTTTTTTTTGGCATATGAAAAGCAGGAGAATGGTCCACCCTCAGTCTTAAATAGGCTACTCTCCTGGCAATCAGTTCCACAAAGAAGCCACAGGAATCTTAGGCATGTTAGAGAATGTCCGTGCCTGGAAATCATTGGCGTGTGGTGGACGTGCATGGTGGTAATTTCTGCCGAGACGAAGGAAAGCATGTTGCTCAGGATGTGAATGGATGCCGCTGGGTTCCAGTGCATGCTCCCGCTCATGTGGGTGGGGGCTGGGCAGCAACAGGCAGTTAGTAGGTAGGGGGCATAGGGTGCAAAGATGGCAGTGGTATGGAAAGAGGCGAGCATGGGGTGTGGAGATGCTCTCTGGAAATGGGAGAAGGGGACCAAGGGACTGATGTGTTCTCCATTTTGGGGGTTGCTTGGAGATGGGTAGGCAGGGAGCGTCCACTGCACTCCATGCTCAGTGAGCTGAAGTCTTATCCTGGCACTGAAACCAGGCTTGCAGGGTGTCGTATCCGGCAGACTTTCCAAAGCTAGCACAAGGACTGGTCGGCGCTGCTGTGAAACTGGTATTAGCTGTTCGGCAGGCAATTCGTTCGTGTGTCAATGTTTCCGCGCCAGATAATGCAGCAAGATCCATGGATGGTGGCAGCTCCGGACTGGGTAATGGACAAGAAGAGGGAGGGCAAGGTTTGGGAGGAAGAGGTGCAGGTGCTCCTCTCAGAGGGAAGCTTGAGGCGATTTCATCTTGCTCTCTTCCAGACGTCAGAGTCGTTGCAACAACCTGCTATGCGCTCTTTGAAATGGCAACAGCGTCCTCCCGTCAAAAGAGTCTGAATTTCGCCATCGCCAACCTCACGTGGAAAGGCTTGGTTAGTCTCCTGCAGGACAGGGAAGGGAGAGCTGTTATCGCACAAGTGGTGGATATCCCGGAGATCATCAACACCCTGATCTCCCTCATGGTGGAAGCGTTTCAAACTGCCCTCCGTGCCTGGATTGCAGAGAACCAACAGGCAAAGGCCGATTCTGGCAATCCAGATGATCAGCAACAGCAGCGGAAGCAGGCATGTGGCGGTCCTACAGAGAAAGATCTGGAAAGGAGCAAGAAACGCTGTATTCCTATCAAGTTTTTCCTGCTCAATCTTATGCGAATCTGCTGCACATATCCAAGTGAGGCAATGAGTGGAACCTCTGGGAAGGAGATAATCTCTTATGTCGTCCAGGTTTCAGCAGTGATCTTGGTTCAACCGGCAGCTGGGCACTGTCTTCTTCCCAGCGCCGCGGTTTTGGCTCTCACAGAGCTCGTGGGCCCCATCCTCTTTGGACTCCTCCGTGCAATGCTTACTTGTAATGGTGTGGCTGCGGACGCGAAGGTCACGTTGATTCGATACTTATGTGACTCCGAGGACGATGAACCCTCGCTCGCCCTAGCATCTTTACATTCCCTGTCGTCTTTGCCCTCTTCGTTTGACGATGCCATACTTTCGTCAAAAGGAGAAAACAGACAACGACCACCGAATGAGGTCATTCTCTCTGGCCGTCTGGCAACAATGGTTGTTGTGATGCAATGCGCCGCGGAGTTTGAAATGGGTGTGCTCATGGAGCTGGTCAGGAAGCTTGACTGGGTACTCGAATGTGTGCAGAGGACCATGGTTTTCAACCTTACTATGTCAAAAAGTTCTCTTCCTCAGGAAGGGGAACAGGGGCGTGGACCCAAGAGCTCTACAGGTCCAGTGCCCGTCAAATCTGCATCGGAAGTCCCTCTGTATTCACGTCTCGTGAATGCTGTGGCCGTTTTGGCTGCTGTGATTGGGTCTTCAGAAGATGCTGACAGTGCGTCCACCATGGAATCTGGGGGCAGCAGTTTCGGCGAACTCCCTGCGCAGCTGGAGTGCTTTCTGTTTGCAAATGCGATGCATCCCAATCCTCTGTGCGCTGACCTTGTGCTTCGTGTATGGTGTTTCATTCTGCAACACAGCTCGGACGACGGCTCTCGGGCGCAGATTCAGTTGCTTATTTCCCTCCTCAGGGAGTGCATCCTTGGTCTCGACTTTCATACAGTTGGATTCAACGCTATGGACAGTGTGCATACGATTGCAAGGTTGATTGTGGCACTGCTTCAGTCTGTTTCAGAGAGTGTTACAAACTCCATTCTCGACGATCTTCTGTTGGTCGTCGATCCGTCATTATTGGCGAAACCGGAATTCATAGCTTCTCTTGCTGTCTTGCTAAGCTGGGGCCTTAATGTGAATGAATTTCGGAACTCCAGCGGAGAGAGTTTTGCCTCCATTGTCTTGAAGAAATATGGCACCTTGTCCTTGCAGATTGCGAGGTCGATAGCCTCGGCAATGACTGCGGGCATCATGGACATTGCTACGCTCCACTCGACTCTCTGCTGCATGAGTTTTCTTTTGATTGGGTAAGTTTGATTTGCATTACCTGGCCTTCGCTCTCACTCACATGCCTGTCCTGCCAACTTATTCTTAGCCGATCTTTGGTGTCTCAAGCTGCCAAGAAGATATTACAAATCTGGCATATCTGTTACACGTGTTTAACAAACATGATGGTTCACAACTTCACACACGTATCATATAATGTGGCAACGCGAACACGGAAAATGGCGTAGGATTGAAAATGGATGTGCCTCCACTGAGGATCTGTAACAATGTACAAAAATGTCAGAAATGCTTTTTTGAGTTCTTCAATAAGTGACTGTATGGACGCTTCAACAATGGATGCATGTGTGGGCGCTTTTTCGCTCAATCACACAAACTTAGGGAAGCTTGCCCAAATAATGTCACGCATGTGGCCAAGAAATAACTGTGTCAAATCCCCTTCTGATGTAGGCAAATGGGCTCTTTTAGACCGTCAGTACACCGCCCCACCCTTGCGGAAAAAGAAGCTCAACGCCTGCCAAAATTGGGGCTACAGGATCACAATGGCTGGCTGCACCAATCAAAGCCAAAAAAGAAAAGAAGTGCACCGCTGGCAAAGGATGCAGAGAATCCTGCTGTGTGGTTGAAGCTTCATACTGTAACGGCTATCTGTTGTGACATATGTGCCCAGCTCTACTGTGTTCTGTTGATTTGCTACTTTTAGGGTGCTCACACTAGGGATTTTTCTAGTAATTGCGGTCAGATTCATCCGGGTCTGGCAGTGATTACAGTCACGGATATGTTTTGGAAAGTGCTAGTGTGAGTATTCCCTTCCCTTAAGTGTTGGAGAGCCTGTTCAAGGGTGCGCATAGCTGTTTTTTTTTTTTGTTTTTTTTTTTTTTCCAACCAAATCACTTGTGCGCATAGCTGTTATAGTAAGGGAGCTTGGTGACCGATGCTGCAATGGAGGAGGAGTGATAATGTGAATGAAACAGCCAAATGCAGCCAGCCATTGTGGTCCTGTAGCCACTCGTGATAACGCAGAAGAAATGAACATGACAACAGTAAAAAAAGAAAATTGCCAAAAAACTGGRCCTTTTTTTTTTTTTTTTTTAGTTACTTTTATTATAATGCCATCCTCGCACAAAGTCCATCCATGCTAATCTCCTCTGGATTGTTCCAATTTTAACGGATGTCCCGCAGGACGTGGCAACAGTCTCTCTATCGCCGAAATAACATGTTTTCAGTTCATGTGAGAAATGGATAGATTTGTCTGCTGAGCATCCGACTGGTGAAGTCTGGAACTTGGCGTGTAATTAGACACAAAATAATAAATCCGTGTTAACATGTTTACTTGTATGCGAACATCATGATCTGCACATCATGTTCTAGCAGCTCCGGATCTCTGGTTCAACAACACACATTCTTGCCTTCTTCACATCACTATGATATATGATATATCCACTGGCATGTCTGTGAAGTCAGGATTTGGTAACCCTTCTGAAAACTCTCTCTCAGACATCCAGGCCCTCGCCTGCAACTGATATATGTTTTCTTCTTTTGGAAACTCTCTCAGACTTGTCCATGTCCTCCTCTGCCACTGATATGCATCTTCTTCTTCTTCTTCTTCTTCTTTCTCCTCCTCCTCTTCCTCTTCTTCTTTTTCTTCTTTTTCTTCTTCCTTTTTATTATTGTTTTTCTTAAACCACCACTACCTTTCAGGCTGTGATGCTAACCCTCAAAAGTAGCCTACTCGGCATTCTTCGGAGGCCAGCAGAGGCTGGGGCCTACTGGACCACAAAGGCTGGTGGCACCAGCCAAAAGAAAACTAAAACGCTGCGCTGGCGCTTCAGCACCCCATTGGCCGGCACTGAAATTCAGGATCGGCAAAAAGAGGATCGGAGGTAGTGGTGGTTGAACTTGCAAAGCACACGGCCGTATCTGTTCTGGGGGGCACCAGTCTGGTTGCTCATTGCCGGTAAGCAAAAGATTGACAGCAAGGATTTCATTTTGTTGTGGAAGCGGATCAGAAAACCCTTGTAGACAGTTCCCTCTTTTTGAAGGACAAATCGGTGTTCATCGTGCCTCTGTCATCTGTCTTTCAGGAATAGGACAGAGGACCTTGCTGCTGAGCGGGAGATTGCCTGTGAGATTGCAATTGAAGTTCTGAAGGCAGCAGCAAGAGATGATCTGCGCCCACGAACGGTCCTTTCTCTTCTGTTACCTCCAGCCTTGCAGGTTTTGAAACTGTCGTGGTCGAGTTTGACTCAAGATCGGGCCCTGTCTGTCCTCCATTGTCTTCTAGCAGCAGCTCATCGGCTTGGACCAGTGAAGCATGGGCCTAAGGCTGCAGAGATGGCATTTCATGCGGTGTTAGCAGAGTTCCTGGCTGTGCTATCGACAGGATGTGACACATTTGATACTGAAATGTGGGGGGTCGTTCATCGTCTCTTCCATGTTGCGTTGCGCGAGACACACAGTGCGCTTGTTTTTAGCGGTCTGGTATCGTTTGAGAAGTTCGGTAGCAATCTCTCAATGGATGACCTGTGGAAGTTTGTGCCGCCAGATGCTGCCGCTGGGAGGATGCTGATTGCTGATGTTGGCATGGATGTATCGCATACCAAACCAAGCGGGCCAAAGGATTTCCCACCCACGCAGGTGGCATTCATGAAAGCCCTTGGGCAAGTCATCGAAGACCGGGAATCGGGCATCATTGTGAGAAATGACGAGGAAGATTTTGACTTGATGAGGCGGGAGACAGACGTGCTGTGTGCTTTGCCAAGATCGCAGTCAACAGCGTTAAGCATGCAACTTGGTATTCCTGATCCTGCCTTTCAGGAAAGAAGCGGCATCACAGCCGTTGATGGTCGAGATCTGTCCGGTGCAGCAGCTGAGGAGAAAGTCCGTGAAGGATTCACACTGGTTCGTTCAGGACTCAACCTTCTTGAACAGGCCCTTCCATCATTGCGCAAGCGCGGAAATGACCCGGCCGTGTCATGGGAATGGATTAGCAGTTCGCTAGATGAGCTGAGACTGATTGTCGACATGAAAGTTTTCCAGAATTCTTCATCGACGGGGACAGGAAAGTCTTCACTAGATATGGATGAAGGCTGAATCTTTTAAGTGCTGGCAGGATCTCATTGCCTTCTTCGTTGGTGTGCTGTTCTCCCTCCTCTTTTCGCCCTGAATTGTCATGTGCTTGTATAGTCTTCTCTCAGCCCAAACGACAGCGCATCTCAATCTTTTCATTTGTTGGCCAAGTCGTGTGTAGCAGCTATATACTTGGTCAGAATTTGTAAAAAGGTGGCGGCACAATTTTTCTCTCTCCCATTGTGGTTTCTAAAGATGTGCTTTCATTGTATCACGCAGGAAGCGGGGATATTGCGCTTGGAACTTTGGAACTTTGTGTTGTCTTCCAAAATGTTCTGTTGTTGTGCTGGTTGCTGTGACCTTGAATCAGTGGACGCTGTGACCTTGAATCAGTGGACGAAAGTCCGGGCTTCTCTTTGTGTTCTCTTTGTGTTCTCTTTGTGTTCTCTTTGTGTTCTCGTTGTGTTCTCCTTGTCATGGCATACTGCAAGAGCAATGCGGGCAAAGCACTGTAGATTTCAAATTTCAATCATCAACAGCGCTGTTTTGCAAATGGTGACTGGGTTGCCAGACTCATATTGGCAGCTAGGCCTGTGAAATTTTCAAAAACACCACTGGGATAAGTCTGGTGACCTATGTCCTTCGGGACATCCGTTAAAATTGGAACGATACAGAGAATGAAGATTAGCATGGCCCCTGGGCAAGGATGACACGCATAAATCGAGAAATAGTCCAAATTTTTAAAAAGAAAAAAGTCTGGTGACCGATTCGAGTAGTAGCAGTAGTAACTGACGCCATATTTGAAACGTGAATGTCACAAGGAGGCCTCTAAACACGGCTGAAGTTGAAGCTGGCATGCTAGAAGCAGTGTTGCTCCAGTATCTGCTACACTCTATTAAACCACCAGTACTTGGCCCAGCTACTGATGCCGAACCGGGAAACGCCCTGCGCGTCAAGTTTTACCGAGCCGCCGCCGCCGCGCCGTTTCGTTTTTCTTTTGGGTGGCGCTTCCAGCCATTGTGGTCCGGTAGGCCGAAGCCCATTAGTCGCGGCGCGCGTTAACGGGAAATGCCCGTGCCCGACGTATGGGCCAAGTACTGGTGGTTTAAAGTTCCTCTGGTCCGGTGTAACGATATATGTGGCGACCCATCCCTACCATCCTTGATGCCTCCCATCAAATAAGCACCACATTTTTCAGCTCATGGCGACGGTGCCCCGGAAAAATCGAATTGAAGCGTGGGCCTTTGCGATGGTGCCGGCCAAATTCAGATGGCGGAGAAAATTAAATTAGGGTGATGAGAGCTCAGTTGGTACACTACTTGCAATTCAATAAACCATTCTCGTAAATCAGATTTACAGAATCAAATGATAGATAAATGAATATTTATTGTATTGAATCTATTGATTCTATTGAATAGTAATTCTATTTCTTCAATCAATTAATTGAAAACTAATTATATTTACAGCAGGTTACTGTCGAAGTCGTGGTATATATAGTCAAACAGAACTGCCCGGAAAACCGTCCGCAGAGAGGGAGACGAGGATAACGAACGAGGGGCTGTGACAAAGTGTTTCATTGGAGTTTCACCAACTCATCAGGAAGCTGAACCCTCAACAGTCTGCAGAATCCCCTAACTGATTACACTCTAAGTGATCATCAACCTTAACCCCGGCTGAGGTTATGCATCAACGACTGCCCGACAACTGTCCATGACTATGCTTCTTTTCCTTTACCTTTCCCTGTTGCTGGGGTATTCCGTTTTGTGGGCCTACTGTATGGTTCCGTTTTTTGACTATGGATATGGTTCTGGTAGAATTTGTTTTGCTGATCTTGTCTGTTTCCTGGTTGCTTTGGTCCCGTTGTTCGGGCTATTTCATGGGCGTGGCGGTGCTTTCACGTGGGACCAGTCATTCGGGTTTTTGGCATCCTGGTTGGTGGTTTCCCGTTGTTCGGCCTTTTAAGCGGAGGGGCGGTGCTTGTATGTGGGAATCGTCATCCGGGMTTGTCTTCTCTTTTTAGGTTGTCACACTGTGGATCGGAGCTATTTTACTATACTATGGATATGGTAGAATTTGTTCTGGTGGTGATTTTGGCACCCTTGTCTGCACCCCGGTTGGTTTAGTTCCGTCGTTCGGCTTACTGTAGTAGCCCCGTAGCGGTGATTTCATGTGGGACTTGTCAGCCGGGTTTTTTCCTTTTTTGGCATTCTTGGTGGTTGCTTCCCGTTGTTTGGCCTGTGTGGGGGGCGGTGCTTTTTTGTGGGAATCGACATCTAGGATTGTCCTTTATGTTTTTTTTGCTGTTGGTGCTGTCCCAGTAATTTAGTTTAGACCCGCGAAGCGATGGCTTGACAGTTTGAATCGGTACCAATTTTTGCAACAACAACAATAAAATCAATCGCAAAGGATTCTTGGAGCTGGCGCGCACGAAAGGTATGTTATCTGGGATTGTTTGTTTGCAGGCAAGGGTGTTCYTGAATCCTGGKTGGTCTTGTCCCGTTGTTTKGCCCTGGTGGTAGGGGCGGTGCTTGCATGTGGGACTTGTCATCTAGGATTGGTTTATGTTTGCTTCCCCCTGTTTTGTTGTATTTGGCTGTTCCCTTCCTCTTTTCTTTGCCTCTTTGCCTTTTGGCTGTGTGCAAGTGGGTCGATATGACACACGGGGGTGGGGGCAGCCGCCGCTCAACCTACATCCACGTGGGCGGCCTTGTACGCAAGAGGTTCTGAACAGAGGGAGTTATAAGGAAGAAGATAAAAAATTGAATTCACTTTTCTTTTCTCCTTTTTTTCCTTTTTTTTCGCATTTGCGCTCTGATATTTTGTGACAATATGTAGACAGTCTGTAGAGTTTTCCATCTGGTGTGGGTGAGTGATAGTCTGCTTTGACTTTTGTCACAGGTACCTTGAGGGCAGTGGTTGGTGCCCACCTCAGGGTATCAGTTGTCGGGCAGTCGTTGATGCTTAACCACAGCCGAGGTTAAGGCGGATTATCACTTACAGTGTAATCAGTTAGGGGATTCTGCAGACTGTTGAAGGTTCAGCCTCCTGACGAGCCGGTGAAACTCGGACGAAACAGTTTGCCACAGCCCCTCGTTTGTTGTCCTCTTCTCCCTCTCTCTCTGCCTACGGTTTACCAGGCAGCTCTGTTTGACTATATATATATATCGTCAATATATATATATAAATATAACCGACAGTCTGTAGAGTTTTCCATCTGGTGTGGGTGAGTGATAGTCTACTTTGATTTTGGTTAAGGTAGATTATCATTTACAGTGTAATCAGTGAGGGGATTCTGCAGACTGTTGAGGGTTCAGCCTCCTGATGAGTCGGTGAAACTCCGACGAAACAGTTTGTCACAGCCCCTCGTTTGTTGTCCTCTTCTCTCTCTCTGCCTACGGTTTTACCGGGCAGTTCTGTTTGTGACGAGATATATATATATATATATATATTTTGTATATGCAAGGAAGATGAGTGATAGCGAACTTCATCAATCAAACAGCATCATACACGTGAGACCAGATAGTCGTGACCTCGAACCAAAAGTAGAATTGCAACACGAGTTTCACCAAATAAGAACACACCAAGAGCTCGTAATTGACAATGCTTGAATGGTCTCATCGTCATCATCAACGAAGAACCAATGTTGATATCCTATCTGGCGCTCGGCGCCCAGACTACAGATGGCAGATCCTATCTAGCCTACTCTACCAGGCCGCCGGATGATGTCAACAGCTTCACCGAAGTACGAGCAGATCTCTGACAATGCCGTCGCCTCAAGCACCAGGTATGTCTCTCATATCACTCACAACCTCGTTCCCCAACTCACAGATGCCACTTGCACCCAAGGACCACCATGCGTCCCATCCAGCATACAGCAGTGCAGCTCGGCTATGGCTGCCTGCTCCTTCCAGCTCGCCCGTGAGCGCGTGAGCCTGGCAGGCGATAGCACAGCAGCGCTTGCGCACAAAGCAGCCAGTGCCCGAATGTCTCCAGCGTGGGCTGGCCCTTTCCTATATGGAAAATGGCCAGCCTGCGTGCGTGCAGCCTGGGTGTGCTGGGCCTCTGCCCAGAACCGTCCGGTAGGCCGAGGGAGGCTGAGCCTCAGACCAAACGAATTGGCCCAGGGTCACCGACAGTTACTTGTGCCCAACTGCCCACAGTCTGAATTGGGCCTGTACTGCGAATCTCGCCCAGGGCCTGACTCAGATGCATTTGGTAAAGGAGGCCAGGGCCTGGGCGCTTCCAACCAACTGGTGCTGCGCAACTGCCTGAATTTTCCCCAGTTGCGAAGTAATCCAAAACAGGCCTCTTAGGGCCTGTCGGGCCTGCCTTCACTTAGGGCGGCTGACGTTGTTACAAATAGGGACCCAGTAGGGCTTATCGAGGCCTTTTACATATATATATACAGTGTAATCAGTGAGGGGATTCATTAGACTGTTGAGGGTTCAGCCTCCTGATGAGTCGGTGAAACTCCGACGAAACAGTTTGTTACAGCCCCTCGTTTGTTATCCTCTTCTCTCTCTCTGCCTACGGTTTACCGGGCAGTTCTGTTTGTGATGATATATATATATATATACGAAACAGTTTGCCACAGCCCCTCGTTTGTTGTCCTCTTCTCTCTCTCTGCCTACGGTTTACCTGGCAGTTCTGTTTGTGACGATATATATATACAGGGTATCAGTTGTCGGGCAGTCGTTGATGCTTAACCACAGCTGGGGTTAAGGTGGATTATCACTTACAGTGTAATCAGTCAGTTAGGGGATTCTGCAGACTGTTGAGGGTTCAGCCTCTACTGATTGATGAGTCGGTGAAACTCTGAGGAAACAGTTTGCCACAGCCCCTCGTTTGTTGTCCTCTTCTCCCTCTTGTCCCTCTCTGCCTACGGTTTACCGTAGGCAGCTCTGTTTGACTATATATATAAAATTCAAGAATGTATGTATGCATATCTACAAAAAATCTATGTATCTAATCTATATCTACAATATATAAATAATATATTATTTTAATTTATTTATAATGTTATATTTATATATTGTAGATATTTATATTCTATGTATATCGTCAAACAGAACTGCAGAGACCCTGATGAGTCGCACAGGCCCGTTGTACATGGATGGAGCAGAGTCGCACAAGCCGGTTGTACGTGTACTTCGGGAACTATCCGTGAACAAGCTACTGCACCCCTCATGGCGAGATTCGGAGTGTCCCCCTAACCTGCTCTGGATACCCTTGCTGGATTCTCAATGTTCCTTTCTAGGCATCACAGGCAGTGTCCAATGCTCCACCCCTGACCAAGGTCCACCCTA